CAAATTAAAAAGAAAAGTAACACAAACATTACCTAATTTACCAACGTTACTGTCCTGTTGCCTTATCCATTATCATCTCGTCTCTCGGGACGATCCAAGACCATTTCACCTAAGGCGCTTGCGCTCTTGGTTATCTGCTAGCAGGTTCTCATAGCTTCTAAAACCGTTGAATACTTCTTTTAAATGTAAGTTTCCGGCACTGACCTTTATGAATTTGATGGCGACGTCTTCTGCTTTTGTTTGTTTCCCTTTGTTTTGCTTTATTTTTTCAAGGTACGTCTATAAACGAGTCTATATAGCCGCCGTTCAGAAATCTTTGCGAGAAGAACCACACGTAAATATGTGATTTGATAAACTTATATCACTCTCGCTTCCACTGACTTCATCCCCCATAAGGAAGATCTACGTGCGTCTCTAACCCAAAATAATTAATGATAATAATGGGTTTCCGACTTAAAGCATTTTAAGAGGCGCGCAATCAGAGTGAAAGGTTTGAACAAATCAAAAAGTTCGTATTTGATTAACAAAATTATGGCTGTGTTTAGATGTTAACATCTAAGTCAAGTTCTCATCTCAATAATAGAGCTCAGAGTTCTCATCTTAATAACAGAGCATCAACAAAAGCATGGAACTTTTTAGCCATGTTTTGGTCATTTGTTCCACCGAGCTAGGCAAATTTAATTCTCTCCTGCCGCTCTGGGGAATTTTGTGCAATTTTGCTTGTCTCGTAGCCTTAGCTTGGCCTTTTCTATTATTAAGTTTCTCGGATGTAAGTCTGAATTTTTGTGGTCTAGTAGCTAGCGCGAATGCCAGAGTTCTTCTTGCTGTCATTTCGCTGGTTGTCTTTTCGTATCATCGTTTTGGTAAAGTTTCCTCACAGCCCCATACTATTGTAAAATAAATCTGTTTTCTCAATGGAAATGTATTGTTTTTGTCATTGTTTTCTCTATTCAAGAACTGAATGCATAATGTAGGATGGGGTTGTGCGGAAATTTTACCCAAGATCGTTTGGCTTTGCTTTCGTGGGGTTTGCACATATGTTTATTCCTTTATTGAGCATCTTCTTCTCGTTTTTGCTCAGCATTGCCGCAGTATTGGGTTTTACGAGTATTTGCAGTTCTATTGTATCTGTCGATTGTTTTTATAAGGAACGCTTCTTCATTAGCTTTCTATTCGTAAGTACAGTTCCTACGGATGTCTTTTTGTTGCAACAAATTCTCAGCCTATGCAATGAGGTCAACTGATGGGGCTGTAGAAAAGTAAAATCAGTAATTCGAGGCCAACAATGGGCCTGTAAATGAGAAGTCATCGAGGCCGAAACGAGTTGAACGACATAACGGGCCTATCCCCAAAGCCAACGGGGAAACGAACAAAAAGAATTTGTTCTGTATAAAGAAAGGAGGGCATTATCGGATAGATACTGTGGGCCTGTATGAAAGCCAACGAGGCCAAAAAATTGTTGGACCTGAATAAATTACACGAGGCCAAAATGGATAAGGTTATGGGCATGTAATAAAACAAAAAAAAGAAAGAGAGAAAGAAAGAAAGAAAGAAAAGAAAAAGGAAAAAGGGCATGTAAGGAAAATAGAATAATGCGTTCGAGGCCAAAATATGCCTGTAAGACAAGTAAACGAGGCCCAAATGAGTAGAACGACTTAACGGGCCTGTCTTCAAAGCCATTGAAGAAATAAATAAAATAGTATAAATAAAGAAGGCCGTCATGAATAGATACTTTGGGCCTGTATGAAAGCTAACGAGGCTAAAATTGTTAGAATAACAATGACCTGAATAGAGAAAAAGACAGGCCAAAATTAATAATGTTATGGGCTTGCATAAGGAAAATATGGCCAGATGGACCTGCAGGGCTATAGATATTGAATATATGGGATATCTGATAGCCAAAGGGTTGGCAAGTTATTTAGATTTCTCCATGTTTTCCGTTTCTCAGGTAACAAAATTACGCAAAGAGCTCAATGAGTTGAAAAAGAAAACCGAGTCCTGTTCGGTTGATACAGCATTGATGGCTTTACAGGCTTTGGTGGGTCGTTCACCGGCCCTGTTTGATTCCTATGCCGCGATTGCAGCTCTTAAAGAGGTAGTTGACTTAGCACAGAAGTATGCGGATGAGCGGTACTCGCGTAATCAGATAATCCTCAGAAAGTGTCGCCCCCTGGTGGCAGACGCATCCTTACAGAATATCCTGATCAAATTAGTGGCCTCGAAGGAGGAAGCTGAGATTGCTAAGGTAATCGAGAAGGCGAGAAAGTCAAGCCGAGCAGGGGAAAGTTTTTCACCGCCTGTTACAGCTGGGAAAACATGGGTACCCTCATATGGATAACGAAGAGGTCGTGAGTCCCGAAGATGCTAGAACTGTGGCCGGCTGGGCCATTTGCAGCGTGCGTGCCCAAAGGCTGAGGCATCTAAACGCCAGTAGATTTCATGTATGAGTGACTTCCATTTATTTTCTGAATTACTCAAATCATTTGTGCAATTTTTTCATAAGGGTGTAACGGAATAAAACGTCTTGTTTGTTGTTCCCTTACCTTGTGGTGTGCTGCCCTTTTTTTTGACGGCTTAGGTTCAAGAGAGTGATCCCACAAGTTGTATGTCCATAGGGCATGTCCTTGAACCCGCGAAGCGGGCTAACCGTGGTCATCTTTCTTGGGCTTGGGTTGGTATTTTTTTCCTTAGTCATTGTTCTGATTTTGTTTTTCATATCCATTTTCTAGTTTGACTGCGAGGTATTAAATGAATTTAACCCCCGTGGAGTGCAGAAATCTTCTGAGATTAAGTGGGTTACTGTTGATAGACACCCAAGCCCAAGTAAGATGACCAGTGTTGGGAAAATATCCGCGGACGTTGCAAGGATAGAAATGGGGGAGAAGGGAAATATGAATGATCTGCTGTTCAGAGACCCTTCAAGCTTCAGGGCGGCTGAGATCCACAAACACATTCCAGTGTGGGAGCGCATTTTGGAAAACAACCCGTTCAAGGAGCAAATATTACAGTGGTTGCAGTATGGAGTGGATGTCAAGGAATTTATAAAACCATTCAAAGGAACGTTCCAGGGCAGCAAATATGATTCGCGATTTCCTCCCAGAAAACACTTAAAAATCCACTAGTCGTGCAAACTGTTTACAGAGTTCATCTCTAAAACATTGGTGGAAATAGTGAGGACGGGGGCTGTTCGTGTTTGGGTTAGAGTAGGAACAGTAGAACCCCCCTTGGGTCATCTTACCTAACAAACACCATGAAACCTAACAAACCAAGGCTATGCATCGACGCCCGTTTCGTAAACTTGCGGATGTCGGACACCCCGTTTTCGTTGGATACCCTCGTCTCGGTGCCTAGATATGCGTATCCGGGTTCGTTTCTTCCAAAAATCGACGACAAGAGTGGATACGATCACATCCTTCTTGCTACATCATCTCAGGAACTATTTGGCCTTAAATGGAAAGGGTGGTGGTTCGTGGGAACAACAATCCCTTTTGACTGAAAAAATTCCTCGTTTATATACCAAACCACCGGTATGGCCTCGACTCATTTCTTTGGAAAAATGGGTATTACTTGCGGTTTATATATCGACGGCAGACTAATTGGGGAAATCATGAGTAAGCATGGTTTTTGGTCCCGCAGTTTGGAATAGCGTGATTCGAAGTTTAGTGAGAACGCAGCTGAGGCGGCCCCATACGTAGTGTACAGAGTATTAACGGGACTTGGGTACTTCCTCGGACTTGAAAAATGTATCTCGTCTCCTGCAACCAGACTTCAGTACCTTGGGATGTTAATTGACACTAACGAGCAGGCTTTTATCGTCCCCCAGGATAATCGGGAAAGCAGGACATGGTCGAGAAGTGACGTTTACACAGGGTTTGAGAAAAGAACTGGAATTTTGGGGGTTTTTAGACACTTGGGATAAATGTGTCCCATGGAGGCAGGAAAGGCATGTTTCATTGGTATTGTCAACGGATGCCTCGTCTTATCGGTGGGCAGTTATCTTTCACTTCCCTCCAAGAAAACAAAAAGTGGAGATTACTGGGAAGAGGACATCCGCTAAGAACAAATCAATGTCAAAGAACTTAGCGCAGTTCTGCAAGCCGTTAGGTGCTTACCAGCATCAGTACGAGACTGTCGAATCGATGTTAGAGTCGATAACCAGGTGACGATCAATTCCTAGCATGGACGTGGTCCGAAATCACTTAGGTTGTTCAGGGTGGCCCGCCTGCTATTCGAGTAAATAACAGATAGGAATCTGATGCTTGAGATGAGCTACATACCGTCGGGACTAAATCCCGCGGATTATTATTCACGAAAATTGACCCGTTCAGACGCAATTCTCTCTGCTACTTCATGGGGTGTGGTTCAAGAGGAATTTGGGGGTCCA